ATGCAGAAAACAATTTTAGAAGTATACAATTTATGTGTAATAAAACTTGAGCCCATTTTTTGAAACTTTAATGTGAGTAAATTGACTTTTTAAAATTGAGAATAAATACATCTACCTTCAGTTTAAAGTCTAGCCAGTCAGGTGGTGGTGGGTGGTGCTTAAAGCAGGATTAATTCTGCTAGTACACCTGCTCTGCAATCCTCTTGAAGTTTTTGGGTTTAGACAAAGTAGCGCGTGTTGCATTTTCTACTTACAACCAAAAAACCTGCTGCTACTAGAAGAGATTTCCACAAATTATTCAGGGCAAAGCATAAACATTATTTATCCAGAGTTATTTAAACTGTACCAAGAGAAATGAAAAATATCAGTGGCAGTAGGTGAGGTAGTAATACAAAGTTAATAGAGCAACAATGTGATTCTGTTGACTGCTCGATGTGGTCAGTGCACTGAGCTTGCTATAGTCTTTCACTTCCATATATTATTTCAAATACATGTTTATGTAAGGCACATCTGTAGTGTCCCAAACCAAAATAAATGTTTGTTACTGCGTAATCATCAATGTACAGTCTGCACAAGCTTGCACTTCTCTCAGGTATTTAAAGTGAGGTTGTTAAATTGACTGTTTTTTAAATCAGTTAAATTACATTTCAGTTAACACTTTGTCTCACAGAGAGCACTCAAAATTCCCTGTGGAGGGCAAAATCCATGACAAATGACAACAAGAAGGGATGTGGGGGGGAAGTTGTTAAATACTAGAATCTCTGAAGTAATGAAAAGTTAAATAAAATACTTTGAACATACAAATGTTCAAAGAGACCAAAGTTGGCTGGGGGGTGTGTGTGTGTATTTTTATATTTTTATGTGCCAGTGAATGCCAAATTCAGGCCTTGGACCATTTTGTCTTGTGGAAAAGATTTTCCTTGAAATGGAAGAGCTTGAAAAGTTGGATATGTTTACTGAAGGAAAACATTTTTAAAAGTTTGAGGGATTTTTCTGTTTGTATGAAGAACAGTTGGATGAACGTGAAGTGTGATCTTCCAGAAACCTTCACAGAAGTTGGAACTGCTTCCATATAGTGTGAGCTGTATGGGATGTCAGAACACAGCAGATAATTAGCAATGAAGAAATTGTTATTATCAGAATTGCAAACAACCCAAGAGCCTTATTTGGAGGCAAAAAAGCCTTTCTTCAGCTGTCTGAGCCAGTGACAAGGGAGGGGCTTAGCCACCTAACCAGTAGAATACAAAAAATTTCAGCTCAAAACAGAGACTATAGCACTTTAGGTACCAATATCTCCTATTCCACTGGCCTACACTTTTAATTTAAGTTCAGCAGCCACCTAGAATGCTTTAAGATCTCTTTCACCAGGGATTAGACTGTATGGTATTGTTGGTTTGCAGAGCTTCTGTTTGTTTTTTGAAGAGATCTGGAGTGTTTCTTGAGATTGCATTTATGCATCAAACAATAATACGGTTAAGCACAAAGTGTTTGGAATTTCTGAATTTCCAAATCATGCTTTGTGGTTCTTCAAAGCTCTACGTTTCAAGGTCAGTTCCACCTGGGTGTACAGCAAATAGCAATAACAAATTGAAAGTGTAATTGGAAAGAAAAAAAATCAACAATGTAGAAAGATGTGAAAGTTACCTGTGAAGGAAGCCATGTCTGGGTACCCTTTCTTTCTAAAATATTCTGCATCTTTCAGTACTTTCCTGTATTTTACTTTTAGCTGTGGAAACCATAGTGTATGCAGTACAGAACTGTACAAAGCAGTTCAGTACCCAGGAAGAGAAATGATGTGCCCTCTTGGAGTGCGGGGTGAGATTCACGGTGTGGTTCGGGAGTGCTGAGTGGTACCGTGTAGTGACTGTGCTGCGGACCGTGAGGCATAGCACAAAGCCCTGGACAAGTGGAGCATGCATCTCATAATGCAGTATGGTTCTCCTTACTGCCTAATTAATAGTTTTACAATTCTTGTGCCATTTCTGTTCCTTATACCAAAGCAAACATGAAAATATGTAAATAGATTTAAATAGAATATGAAGAGTAGCGTGAATAAGCAACCACACGGTTATGTTGTACTTGCACCAAAGTAGAATTCTGTATTGTGGTATTGTGACATAGTTCGTGTCCTGACAGCACGTTTATTCTAGGCCTCGGATTGTACCAATACGCTTTCTTTTTAAGAGGAAGTGCTAGAGAACTTTTCAAGGCAATGTTAGGAATGCCTTGTTGTGAAGTTCTTGTGTTGCTCTCCTGTTAGGTTGATGTCACAAATGTCTCTTGTGAAGGAGACGTCAACAAAGATGGTGTATGGGAGTTGGGTTTTTTTCCAGTGAAGGACAAAAATAATGCATAGAACAACTATGATTTTTTTTCTCTGAGTAGAAAATCTCAACAAATAAGAAGAAATAAGAAGTCTTGGCTTCTTCCAGCAGTGTTCCTTCATTCTAGTTTATCTTTGCCTGAAATTACGGGGGGAGTTTGTCACTTGTGATTAATTTAGGTAAACCAGGGTTATCGCTCTTCTGCTTGCTTTCTTGAAGGGCTGTTTCTTTTATGGCGTTACAGTGTGACAGATGTGTTTTTCTGCTACTGTTGCAAACGCTGAAAAGAATCCTGGTTTACAGCTCTGCCAGCTTTTTGTGATACGTGGGCTCTGCAAAGACTATTAGTGATTTCAGAATATCTGTTCTGCACTGTTGTCTTGCGTGACCACCTGCTAGGGCTGGTCCTACACTGTCCTGCAGTACTGAAGGACCTCTGGACCCTAGAGTAGTTTACTCTGAGTGTGCACAGGTGTGTGTTTTCCTTTGGGGTCTTTTAATTAAACCAAATCTGATTTATGAATACATGATTTTGGATCCTGATGGTAGAAAACTTGGATTTAATCTAGATATTTCTAGCTTAAGAATGCTTGCTTTGAGCCTGGCTGTGAAACTCCTGTGTTTTTGTGTGTTTGCCATGATTAAACATTTTCCACTGATTTGTGCAGAAGCGTATTGGAAGACAGTCATACTAGCATTCTTTCATTTTCCAGTCAGAACTCAAACTTAACTAAAATGGGAGATTTATTTTTATATGCAGATGATGTTGACCCATCACTTCTGCAATGGAAACATTTGGCAGTTCATCTTCTGTGTTGTTTCATAGTGTGGAATTCGTTGCATAAGATTTCGTTCTCTATGGTTTGAGAGGGAGAGATGTATCTGGGGTCATCTTGCCGTCCTAGCTCTGATTGATTTGTTTTTCTTATGGAATCGTTTGGGGAAACTCTGTTGTGCATCAAGATGTTTCTTAAAGGTAGCGCTTCTCTTTGGTAATTTTTTTGTTTTCCTTTTCAAAGCGTTAAAGTTTTAATGATGGTGTGTTCAGGTTCAGCGTGGTCTGTCTTTGAGTATCTGCCTGCCTTAGCAAGTGGTTTTTTCCCCACTCCCATTAGACATATTTCCTGTATTTATGGATGTATTGGAGGGAGTAGTTTTGGTTGAACAAATGCTACAGAGAACCATTTCCTGTTACTGGTGACGTCCAAGGTGACGGGAACTTTCTCTCATCATTTTCTTGGACCACTTTGGGGTGGTGGTGGTGTCTGTTAATCACTGAGTTTGATCAAGAAATTATTAATGTGAAGTTTAATATTCCAGAATACTGGTTGTGTCACTATTCAGCCTTGGAATACACAGCGCATAATACACGTCACTGTTGATTAAAGTGTGCATGTGAAATTGCTGTTGTGGCCAACTTCATTTTTCCTTTGGATTTTCTCTGAGAATAAAATGCATCCTGCCCACCACTTCTCTGTGGAGAATTATGATACGTAGTTGTTGAACAGTTCTTGGTTTTAAACCAAGATGATGGTTTACAATTCGTTTATAAGATTGTCTAAACTTGATTCAATTCCTGTTTAAGGGAGGGGAAAAAAATAGTTTTAATGAGCACATCCTGATACTTTCATTGGTGTCTGCAGCATAGCAGCACGTAGCTGGCTACGCTTTCCTTATTTTGACAGCAGATTGATACTGATATATCTCATTGATCTAATACACAACCTACAGAAACTTTCCTCTTCTGGTTTTCCTTCTGCTTAGCATCAAGGTCAGTGGAATTAAAGGGAAGAAAGTGTGTCATTTCATCTGAATTAGAATCTGAGACAATTAATTATGCTCAGTGTCTTTTAGGTAGTGAAACAGCACTTCACGTTAGTGAAAAAAGTGTTAGGTTGACCTTCCATAGTTCTACCTCCTTCTCATTCTGTGGCGCTCTCTCCTCCGTTATTGAAGCATGGCTGTGGTGGTTGTTTGTTGTTTTGGGGTTTTTTTGGTGGTGTTTTTAGTGGGTTTGGGGGATTCTTTTTTAGTAGGGAGTTCCTGAAGGATTTTCATAAAACATCACATTTAACTTTTGCTTGTGGCTTGTAGGTATCCAGGGAGAATAGTCTAGTTAGAAAGCAACGGGAAAAGTGATTAGGTTCTCTTTTGTATTTTAATTTGGTTGAAATCGATGTCCTAAGACATCTGCTTGAAATGATCCTTCCTGTAGAGTATTGCTGAATAGGAGAACAGCCTGCAGTATTTTAATACAAAATAGCTGTTGTTTGAAGCTTGATTCTTCAAGTTGAAAGTTAAGATTCCAAGAAGGAATAATAAACTAGTCATGCTGAATAAAAATGAGAAATTTCTAAATTAGTATTTTGGCCAAGGGAAATACCTGTCTTTCAAACTAATTTAAACAATTAAAGTGCTAGGTGTCATTTGAAAGATCCAGTAGCTGTATATTATGTGGGAAATGCACCTGCCCTGAGTGTCTAAAGCAAAACTTCAGATATCTTGTGTATTTTCATACTGTTAATTAAAGTATAAGATAATAATCTGAATTATTACATTTGTGTAACCGTGAAGGTGTGAATCCTTACTTTGTAATAGTTTAGGAAGTTTGATGATAGAAGTTTAAACATGTTGACCTGTGAACGGCAACGTTCTTACTGTTGTTTTTTATTCCAGGTAGGAGAAGACAAAGAGTGCATCGTCCTCGTTCTCCAATATTGGAAGAAAAAGATATCCCACCCTTGGAGTTTCCTAAATCCTCAGAGGACTTAATGGTGCCTAGTGAGCATATAATGAATGTTATTGCCATCTATGAGGTACTAAGGAACTTTGGCACTGTTTTACGCCTCTCTCCTTTTCGTTTTGAGGACTTCTGTGCTGCTCTGGTAAGTCAAGAGCAGTGCACACTTATGGCAGAGATGCATATAGTGCTTTTAAAAGCAGTTTTACGTGAAGAAGACACTTCAAATACTACCTTTGGACCTGCTGACCTCAAAGATAGCGTTAATTCCACTTTGTATTTCATAGATGGAATGACGTGGCCAGAGGTTCTGCGGGTATATTGTGAGAGTGACAAGGAATACCATCATGTTCTTCCTTACCAAGAGACAGAGGACTATCCTTATGGACCAGTAGAGAATAAAATCAAAGTTCTGCAGTTCTTAGTGGATCAGTTTCTTACAACAAACATTGCACGTGAAGAGTTAATGTCAGAAGGTGTTATTCAGTATGATGATCATTGTAGGGTTTGTCACAAACTTGGGGATTTGCTTTGCTGTGAAACTTGCTCAGCTGTGTACCATTTGGAGTGTGTGAAACCACCTCTTGAAGAGGTTCCAGAAGATGAATGGCAGTGTGAGGTCTGCGTAGCACATAAGGTGCCTGGAGTAACTGACTGTGTTGCTGAAATCCAAAAAAATAAACCATACATTCGACATGAACCTATTGGATATGACAGGCATAGACGAAAATATTGGTTCCTGAACAGAAGAATCATTATGTAAGTAAACTAATCATTTGGTATTTTCTGAACTGTAATATTGTATTGAATGCATTTCTAATATGTCTTGTAAGTTGCTGCTGCCATCTTAAATTTGTTCTTCCTTTAGATATAAGACCATTGCTTGCTGTTGTGAAAGTACATTTTTAAAGGTGATGTAATTACCCCATCAATTTTCTCCACAATAAATATCACCTGTGTAGAAAAAGGGGAAAAGACTGTCTTAATTTTAATCTGCCTAAAACCATGAAAGTGAGGAAAAGAAAGGGAATTTTAATGAGAACTCTCCAGTTTCTTGTAAAAATTATTGAACAGTAGTAACTCCCTTTGTGATCACGGAGTGTATGTGGCACTAGTTTTGGTATACTATCACCGGCTTGGGTAGTGTTGGACTGTTAGGTAGTGGTACTACTTTGATGGTCTGCCTTTAAGGCCAAGGCATTCAAAGCACTCAAAAATAACAGCTCACCATAGCTATTAACTAGAAATGCAGATAATGTTGCGTGTGAACACTGGTGTAAATAGCAAGAAATGCCTGTCTTCAAGCGATCTACTTTCCATGTTTCACACAATTTCCTGTTCCTGGTTGGTTTGGAGGTACTAATGTATCTCAGAGTATTATTAATAATCAAACTCTTGTTAGTGAGGACACTGTGCTCTGCTTTTTTACCTGAAAAGTTGAATCTTAGACTTCTTCCACAGGAAAATGGCTAAAGACTAGTTTTTCTTATAAAAGCCTCTTCTTATGTAATTGTTCTTGTAATGGAAGGGAAATAGTATTTAAGTGAAATTATGGGTATTGTTAATTTAGGAAAACTAAAGAGGTTTTACTAGATTTCTCGCGATAGTTTTCCATTCAGTATTATGGAGAAAATAAGCCACAGCTGGCTACCTTAACAGAACTTCATACAAAACCAGTTACAGTGAATGTGAAGGTATTAGCCAGTGTCTTTAACAGGGATTGTGAGGACTGCTGATGGTGTTACATGCTGCAAACAAGACACTTCCAAGGACTTGCTTTAGTCCTTTAAAATATAGTGCCTTCTCTAGTGTATTGTTAGCTGATGCTCTAAGTGTTAATTATTGCTGCCCTTTATTCCTGTCATCTTCTTTCAGACTTGTAAAAGGGTCCATGTTTGATTATTTTTAGTTTCCTCGGGTTATAAATACCACATTAGTGTCAAGTAATCATTTTAAAAATGCAGGGAACCTTTTATACTCTTTTTTTTCAATACTCTCTGTTTATATTCAGTCACATGCTGTGCAGTATGTGGTGTATCATTCAGATGGTTTGGATGCAATGGTCAGCCTGAAGCTGTTGATATCCTAATTTTTCCATTGCCTCATATGTAATTTTCTACCTTCTGCTTCCAGAAAAGGAAAATTTTCACAAAAAGCCTGGTTGTGAAGGACATGTACCTGATACTCTTCTCGCTCTAGTTACCTGTGCTTTAATAACTCACACATAGTCTCTGTGCATGGTTCTTGTATCTTTTCCTTTCAAACTCTTTCAAACCCTGTCGAAAGACGGGGTTTTTTCCCCAATGGCATTCAGAAGGTTTTGATACAGGCAGTACTTGAACATATTTTAAACTAAAATAAATCAGGCAGCTACTATTTGATCCTTTGAAATCTACGCATGTGAAAGTTCTTCCTCTACCACATTGGTAGTACATTTAACTGCATTAGAAAAGACATCCTCAAAGGTTAAATTGATTGATTTTTCTTTTAAATAATTTTGCATTCCTCTTAGAGGTGAGTGGGCAAAATTATTGGTTTCAGAAATCATAAGTTTTATGAATGTAAGTTTTGTATCATAATTGGAGTTTATTTAAAGAGAAAGTACATCAGTATTCCATTTCAAATTAAAATGGATGAGAACTGTAAACAATACAGCAAAAGGAAAATTTTTCTTGGATTTTCCATTTTACTGGGTTTTTTTAGGGATTAAAATATTTCAAAATATAAATAGAAAAATATTTTTATGTTTACAAAGGCAAGAAGAAATGCAGTTTATTGTCCATTACTTGTTTTCTGACTTTCTTTCCTATTCTTCTCACGTGGATCATGTAGGTTGAAAGATTCTTTATCTGCTCATCCCTATCCTTCCTGTTGCCATTAGATATCACACCTTCTGCAAGTGTCAGTGCACCTGGGCATGCTTCCCAAACAAGTTCTCTCTGAAGTATCTGGTTTGCGTTAAAGATTTTTCAAATCCCTCTGGTGGAATTGGAAGTCAGATGGACAGGACAGTTGGCCTGGTAGACCTGCAGCAGCAGTACTGACAGTGCGCTGTGGGATGTGCCGAATCCGCCAATTCCGCTAGACTTTTCATTGAACTTTGCAATATTAATTTTATGGATAATGCACCTTAAAACTTTATGCAAAAGGCACTTCATAAGGGGACAAAAGTATTTACTACATAACTTAATTCCAGGGAAATACAGCTTTAATACTTCACATAGATATTAAACTCGGCCCTCTCAGTTTTTATGGCCTTTAGATCGAGTAAGTATGCTGTATTACAGACCCAACCATTCCACTTATGCATACAGAACAAGATCAAACCACACCTGATATCTTGGATAACTAAAAGATAACCCCAGGGATAACTGCCAAGTGTTAAATCCTGAGATTCATGAAATGATATTATCATAGCAACTTTATTAAAATGAAAAGAGTGTGTTCACCAATGGCATGTGATCAAGTATTTCAGTGCTAACTAACTAAAAATAATCTAAAAATAATCTGCACAAATAACAATTTGAAATCTTGCCCTGGGGGATTAGAGACTGAAATTGTAAATTCTGGCTTTTGTTTTGTTGTTTTTCAAAGGGTTTTTTGGGGACGTTTTACTGGTTTTCCCATCTTCTAAAGGGTTTTGTAGGTTTGTTCACTGGTATTTTTATTTCCACACTCATCACTTGCTGAGGGTAATAAGCCTTGTTTAAGCCAATCATTGTGTGTTCTCTTCAACAGTTCTGTTTTACAAAGATGGAAAAGTGGACTGAGTGTGTGTTTCAAGCGCTTTAACAAATTTAGGATGATGTGTCTGGGTCAGTTGCATTTGTTTTGCTTTTGAAGGTTATTTCTGCAAGTTAACAAGGCAGGAAATTTAGGACTTGGACTGGCATTCTCATAGTAAACTGCTGCAGTGTTTTAACCAGTTATCTTCCTAGAAATATTGAGATGTATTGGATTTGTCAAATCTCTGTGAAGGACAATAAGGAAACATTGTTTGGCTTTAATTTTGATAGCAGAAATAAGACACAAATGGTTATTCCTGAGTTGTATGTTTTTTCCTCAATGGTTAAAAACAGTTTCAGGTTTGTTTTGGGGTGTTTTTTCCAAGTTTTACTAGGGTTGTTATGTTCTTAATGGGTCCTCCTCTATTTTTTCCAATTAATTAAAGATGTTTTAGATATTCCTTTGAATAGATTAAGCAATTTACTAAATTCTTCGGTCTCTATCAGCATGGATTCAGGAAGGGGTGTCTCTGCTTTACCTGAAAGTTTCTAACATCTCCTGTCTTGTCATTTTTGTAAGTCTTGAAACTTGCCTCTAACCCTGCCAGTGAATAGTTCCTGGGAGCAGAGGAGGCTGAAAGAGGTAGGAAATATTAGTGTGCTTCTTTTCTCCCCTGTTTGGCCTCACTTAATGTATGTGAATCTATTGAGGTCCTTTGAGACTAAGCAGCCCTGTCCAGCACCAAGCTGGCAAATCTGACTGGTGTGTCAGAGCGGAACAATAGCGGTCATTTTTCCATCTTCTTTTTATGATTTCTTGAAAGTGTAGTGTCCCTTTAGACAACGCAAGATTGTGTTCAAGGAAAGTTAGCTTAAATCTTTTAACCGTTAATGTAAATCTTAACTGACTTTGCCATTGGATCACATGGAATGCTGTCTGTGGTAGTTCTTTGACTCTTAGTGAGTTGGTGATGAGCAATTCCTGAACTTCTCCTGCTAAGGTTGTGGTAGCCTTCAATGCCAGAGAGTCTCCATGCTCAAAACCTTATATAAATGAAGTAGAAGGGAAATAAAATACTCTTGGGTAACCTCATTGTCCATTTCTAGATTATTATCTTAGCAGTGCTTTAATGGGTAGGACTTAAATCACACATTGAAAGCTTAATTAGCTCTAGTTGCCTTCTGCAGAATACACTCTCTTTGTGGTCTGTTGTCTTGATTCTTTACAGTGGGCTTCTGGGTTTTATTGGCCTGCAATACAGCATACCTCTACTGGTACTGAAGGCTTTTTCTTGAGTTAGATAGGGAAACTGAAGATAGAAGCTAATTGCTTTTCAGTCCAATGGAACCTTGTAACACTTGAACAGGAAGAACTGATGGGAAAGGAAAAGACAGATGCTTCTTTGGATTTTCAGGTGACATGCATATGCATCCTGGAGGCATTAGCGTAGCTGTAGCACTTTCAGATTTTCTAAAGGCATGGAGAGAATGGAAAAAGATGACGACACTTGGATGATCACCACTGAAATTCAAGCAGGGCTTGTATGCCTCCTCTGGCAAATGGGTACTAGCATAGCCTTGCTTCATGGAATGAGACTGTTTAAAGTGTTCACACTGTTGCACATCTAGGTCATATAAGATGATGTACAAATGGCATAGCTGTCTAGCAGATAATTGTGTAATGAGCCAGGAGTTCAATATGAAAAGTTAAAGTTCCCTTTTTGGTGAGCTAAGAAATATATTTAAGTATAAGCTTAGCGACAGCATTTTATTCTGCAGTCACGTTTGGGACGAGCAGAGCAGCCTTACAACTGCCTGTGTCTTGCTCTCGCCACTTCCATTGAACATTTGACAGGGAAAGTATGTATTCTTTTTAGTTAAGCATTTTGTTTAATCTTTTTCTTTCCCGTTGCTGTGTAAAGCTGTATTATTGCATTTTCATCTCCCCTTCCATCTTAGTTTTTGGGTGTTTGCCTTTATTTTCCTTTTCCATGGCTTTTGTTCAGAAACAATTATCAAGGTGCTGCCATTCCTATTATTGTTAGTAGATAACTTCCTTGGTTTGGAGGAAATAAGGTTTAAATAATGATTTTTCCTTAACATGGAAGTCTACAGGCATAGAATATTCCATAGAGTCAAATGATTGTCGCTATTCAGCTGTTATTCTGATGTGTCGTATCGTATGTGGGCAGTCTTCCTGAAATGAGCTGTTTTCAGAGAAAACTTGTCAGACGTAGCCATGCTAACATGTTAAAACTAGTGGAAAGTTACTGGAAGCCTAAAGGAGTCAATGGGTAAAGTAGAATTTGTCACTTTTCATGAGCAAAGGCCTTTATGAGAGAAATGATAGTATTTCTTTGCAGTGCACCAAGTGTTATCAGAACCAAAAGTCTGGTTTGTACTAATGGTTGTGACAAATTAGTTGTTCAATTTAGAGTAATATTTAGATTAATATTAACTCCGTAACCACCTTATTTTAGTGGTACTCTGAGTTGCGAATGCGGCTGTTGTTTCATAAATACGATGTGGACGATAGATGATGATCAAGTTACCTTGGTTGTTTGACTTTCTGAATACCTGAGGGCAATTTTTACTATCTTTAATGTGTAAGCCATGTGGAGGCAGCCAGTAGATGGAACGCACAACAAACCTTAGAGGGGTAGATCTTTCAAGCTACAGTCAGCTTTCCATTCCTATCCGCGATTTGGGTCAGGATTATTAGTGAGCCATAGGTCGGTAATGCTTTTGCAGGTAGTGCAAGCGTAGCAGTAGTTTAGCTCCTCTCCCACGTGTGAAGGCCAGGCTGATAAGTCACCGTCGCCCCGTACCGGTCGGTGTTCAGAGTTTTGGGAGCACTAGGGTGTGTTGCGGAAATGAGTGGTCCTGCCCACAGCCAGCCTGAGTCTGGCTGCTGCTGCTGAACAGGACCTAACAAGTCAAGCAGCCTTCTTCAGAACCACTTGCAGCATTGTCCTTACGCTCTCCAGCGCTCGGGGAGACCCTCCTGGGGTATTTATGGAGCACACACACTGGAGTCTGGTGGCCCCGCTGAGATGCTTTTGACACTGGTTCTCCAGTAGTTCTGTCTAGGCTCGTGGTGTCATGGACTACCCCAGATAAAAAATGTGAAGTCCCTTGATGTTTTTAAAGGGTGGTATTATGATTTGTTTGTCCCTTACTGGTGCTCTCAGGTGAATGCCGTACTGATGCTAATACAAAATGTTGTATGAATGTGACATTCTCTGCTTTGAATATCCTATGCTTGCTCTTTGCCAAGCATGCAGTCAGAATCACAGCCCTTAATGATTCTGGAGCCATACCCTCTTTCATTGCAAGTTGTTTGAGACTTAGTAGCAGACTACTGGTTACAGTAAAAGTAAATATAAAGAAGAATAAACCTTGTTGCCAAATTGGACAAACTCTCTTTCCCAAGGAAGTTGTCATGAGAACTTCTGAGGGGATGAAAAAAGGGAGAGACATGGGAAAGGAATATTTGGGTACTGAACTGGGTACATATGAGTGTCCTCATGTGATTTGTTTATTCACATTCAGGTTCTGGCATACAATAGTTCTCTGCAAAAGGTAGGTTGATACTAATTTTTATCATTTGTCCAGGTATTTTAGAATTAATAACTTTTAATACTTTTACAGAGAGGAAGATTCAGAAAGTGAGAAAGATAAGAAAATCTGGTACTATAGCACAAAGATACAGCTGGCAGAGTTAATTGAATGCCTAGACAAAGATTACTGGGAAGCTGATCTATGCAAAACTCTGGAAGAAATGCGTGAAGAAATTCATCGGCACATGGATGTGACAGAAGACCTTACTAATAAAGCCAGGGGCAACAACAAGTCTTTCCTTTGTGCAGCAAATGGTAAGAACACTTTGTTTAATGGGAATAGATGTTGCGCTTCGCATCAAATCCTAATCTGCATTTATTTTATTGTAAGAAGTTTATAGAAGTTGATGGAGAAGCATCATACAGGTGTACCAGCGTAACTACGTAGTGCTGACTTCCTGTAGGACTAGGAATCATGTATTCCAGGATGTCCTGAATGATTTGGATTCTTAATATGCTTAGGGTGTGCCAGGTGGCGATCATTCCGGGTGTTGGAATGTGTTAACTGTCAAGTGTTTCTTGATGTACTGTCTTTTTATATATTATATATTGAAACTCTTCATAAACATTTAACAATCCAATGGGAGTTGGAGTAGCAAAAATATGAGAGCTCCAATATTATGGAAACTGTGGAAGAATGCATATCTCCTGCAGTTCTCCATCAACTTAATTTATCTACCTTGGAACAATAAATAGTAATATAAATCTGTGAGGGTTTGAACTTTGGTTCTGGGGAAGAGATGAAGATTAGAAAAGGATTTAAGTCATCATCATTGCTGTATAAATGCATAATTCTGAGAAATCAATGTTTAAATATTTGGAATTGTTTATTCTAAGTGGGGAAAAAGTGGTAAGAAGTTGGATGTTACCTTTCGTCTCATTCAAAAGAAGAGGTGTTTATGTCATGTTAGTTCTGCTTGGTGGCTCTGTAGGTGGTGGTTTCTTATTTATTGATGAAAACATACTTTCTATTGTAGAAGAAATTTTGGACATTATCAGAGCAAGAAAAGGGGAAATAGTGGAAGATAAAAACGCAGCAGATGATGAAGGCGAAAAGGCCAAAAGTGATGTTGATAATGACCAGACAGATCCTGAGAGAGGCAAGGAAGAATTTGGAGACCAAGATAAGACTGAGGAAACATCCACTGAGCAAGATGAGGAAAAAGTGAAAACAGAAGGTAAAGAAACTATGGCTGTGCTTTAAAACTTGGTTAACGTGAATCTTAACTGAAGATCCTAACATTTCTTCAAGTGTTAATGTGATTATGTGGGGTTTTGTATGATTCTATAAGTTATTTTTTAAGTAATAGGTGATCCTTTGTGGTTGTATATTCTAATAGTTTTTCTTAAGTAATTTCACCAATTTTCCTACTTTTTGAGTTAAATACAGCTTGCTTGGAGATATCTCAACTTGAGGTACAGGTGGCACTAACAGGTAGGGATCAATGTGTTTCTAGTAAGCGATATTACATCATTTTTAACATTGTTTTCCTCATCAGAATTAGTTTGTGGTTGGATTCTGAGACATTACTATTTCATAAGGGAAAAAGAGGAAAGGAGAAAGCTCAGTGTTTTTCAGCGTTGTCAAACACACAAGCAAAGCTGCTCAAGTTGCTTTCTATGGATGATGCCAAATGACATCCTAAGACATACTGAAGAATATCCCTAAAGTTTTGTTGTGCGTTTCACTATAGAGGCAACAGTCGTTGGGGATAAAAGTAACTCTGTGACATCAAGCTCTGATGACAACAGCACAAATCCTTCTGCAGGAGAGATTAGTTGCTCTGAAGGGAAGAACGCAATGGGTTGTCAGTCAGAAACCCTTGATAGCAACAACGTGGCAGAGAAGAAGGTGGCATCAGAGCTCCCTCAGGAACTCTCAGGTACAGAAGGCACTGTTACCAATGCCTCTGTAATTTGGAGAATCTTAAGTTTTTCTATCTGATTTGTCCACTAAAACCATTCACAGCGTATGTCACTCATGCTGTTTGCTTGCAGTGCCATCCTTTACTGCTACGTTGACATTAACATTTCAAAGTTAATTTTCTTGCAACCTAGTGCTTGAAATCCGTGGTCCTCTGTGACATTAGCATTCGTTTCCATGCCTTACAAAGACGACTGTGGCTAAGCTTTTATGTTCTACTTTCTGTATATTTTATTTTTCCATAGTGATCCATAATGATTGTTAGCATCTTATCAAAGTTTATTTCAAATTCTAATTTGCTGCTGGCTTGTTTGTTATTTTAACCTCTGATTTACTGTGTAAATTACTAACAAACCAGGTGTTTTCATTCACGTGAGTAAACTGTTGCACTGAAATGTCAAGATGAAAATTGTCTTGCTAGTAATTTTAAACAGATTTCAGAATTATAAGCACAGTGGCTGTTGTATATTAATGTGTTTTGTTCTGCTATGTCAGTGAATCAAAAGTAGTAACATAAACTAATTAAAAAACCCCTGACACTTCAGATTTAGGAATAAATGGGACTTGCTTAGGTGTAACATACATTATCAGTGTACTATTTTAGAATGACTTTATAGTACGTTTAGAATTATATTGTATTACAGGCCTTACTACATAACCAAATGTTATTATAAACATCCGATTACTGTTAAAATTATCAGTTTTATTTTTTAGTTCCTAAAAATCTAAACATTCTAATCCGTGACAGAGCCATACTCAATGTGTTTTGTTTCAAAAAGTGGAAATAAACATTTTCTCTCCTACAGAAATGGTTCTCCATTCAGTACAGATTGCAGTTCTTGCAAATGTGAATGCATCCAAACCTTGTAATAAACTTTGTTAATAGGAGAAAATGAAAAGTTAAGATTAATGCGTAATCTAGAGTTCTCATAATACACTCTTTGAATACAGAAAATGTCACAGAATCATAGAATACCAGGTTGTTTGGGACCTCAAGACTGTGCAAAAGCACACTCTAGACAAGACAGCCCAGCACCGTGTCCAGCCAAATCTTTTCAGTGGCCGATGTTGGGGAATCCACCTCTTTCCTGGGGAGATGATTCCAATGTCCTAGTGCATGGGACAAAAGGCAGGCATTTTAGATATTTGACCAAATATTTTTTCCTGTTCTTGTATTCTTCATTCCATTTTCATAGACTGACAGATTCACAGAGTGGAAGGGACCTCTAGAGACCATCTAGTCCAACCCCCCTGCCAGAGCAGGATCCCCCAGAGCAGATCCCACAGGAACAAGCCCAGGGGCTTTGGAAAGTCTCCAGGGAAGGAGACTCCCCCCCTCTCTGGGCAGCCTGGTCAGGGCTCTGTCACCCTCGCAGGGAAGAAGGTTTCCTCGTGTTCAGGTTGAACCTTCTGTTTTCCAGTTGATGGCCAGTGCCCCCAGTCCTGTCACTGGACACCACTGAGAAGGCTCTGGGCCCACCCTCCTGACACCCCCCTTTAGATATGGATGAGCATTGATAAGTTTCCCCCCTCAGCCTCCTCTTCCCTAAGGAAGGTATTTAAGTTAAAATAACTGTATAGAGCTGTAGTGGAAAAGATACATATCCTGTAACTTTTCTCCAGACCCATTTATGGGTTCATATTTTATTTTGAAGATTCACTTATTTATTTATTGTTATTTCTTTATTTTACTTTCACAGGTATTTTTCTCCTTGAAAGCTTCTAGATTATTTTTAAATTTGTGGGCTTTTTTTGTAGGAAAATGTGTGTGTGGAGAGGGTTCTTCCTCAAGTCTAACTTACTATATTCATAGTGATACTTGTGTTCCTGTTATGAAATTTCAGTTTGAGACTCTCATTTGAGAGAGAGAGAGATACTGAACCAGTATCAGTGAGGCAGCTGCCCCTGCTGGGGAGAAAAGTAAGAGTAAAATGCAAAGCTGGATGAGAAGGTCTGTCACCGTCCTTGTTAGATGCAATTTGGATATGATTAAGGGTTTAGTTTGGGTATTCCTACCCTCCTCTGTACAGCAGGCACCACAAATGGTTCCACTTTTCCTCTTAGTATAAAGGAAAATGGATCAAACAGTGGTGGCCACCTACTTGGCACAGCCAGAAATCAAGGTACCTTCAGGTTAAGGATCTTCTAAGAATCCCAGACTAGGTACCTAATCATCTTTCTCCCAGGAGTGAATATTTCACAAAAAGGAGGTTTTATTTTGTCACCTTTCTTAATAGCAACAGAATCCCTGATGTTTTGGAAGAGTTCTAGAAACAGAAATATCTTGTATTTTTTAAAACAGCTAAGCTGTTTATCTTTTGCACAAAATCAAGGTGACATTGCTGTTTTGAGGAATGGGGGCTTGTTCTTGGCAGCAAGTGAGGTGGCAGCTGTCAAGACAGGCAGTAACAAGGGCAACTGGGGACCGAGAACCTATTTGTGTTACTGAGCTTGAAGCAACATCTAAACCCATCAGATTGTAGGAAAGAGGCTGAAATTTTGTATTTGTGGAGGAGGAGTTTAGATAGAGTGATGCCAGTTGAACCGAAACCTGTGGGATTCCTCAGCATTAATGTACTGAAGAAGAGACAGAGGCTCGGTGGAAAACTGCAGGGGAACTGGAAGGTGTATGCTTTGAGGAACAGCCAAAGCACAAGGAGATCAAAAGAGATAATGTCACAGAGGCTGCAGAAACACCAGATTTCATGAAATCTGTATTCTAGAAACAAAACAAAGTCTCGGTAGAGGGTTTGTGCATCTCTAGGGAACAGAAGTGTCATGTATTTAAAACATATTGCATATTTCATCCAAGTAGGAATTTCAGTTCTTCAGAGCTGTGAAAGTTGAAACTACTCAAAACAACCAAAAAAAACCCCAAACTTTCATGGATACAATGCTCTGGAAGGAATTAATATTTTATGGGTATTTCTCTCCAGTTCAGCAAAAGATGTTCATCTGACTTTTTAAATGAAAAATTTAAAACTCAGAAAGAAAAACTAAAAATGAGGTTGTTCTTTTGTAGAAGAAACTGGTCAGATGATTCCTAGCAACAGTAGCAGTGCATCTGCTGCACCTCTGCACTCAGATGTTGGAAACAGCAACTGTAGTGAGCTGGCCTCTGGGCAGAATGACTCCATTAAGACGCCTGACGATGCTGAAAATGCAGAGAGGGGATCCCAGACTTCAGAGGACACAGGTAATAATAGTGTGTCTAACCTCCATTTTATACATCCTTTCTTTTCACTTTATAACTCACAAACAGCAATAGAATATTTCCAGTTTTTAAGTTGGTTTCAAAAGCCTTTTTTTTTTTTTTTCCCTGGGCAGGAGAGAAATCTATTGGTGAAAGAAGTGATTCTCCAGGCGCAGGAAAAGGCACGCCAGGTTCGACACGAATGCTCACAAGATTACGAAATCCAGATAGCAAGTTGAGCCAGATGAAAAGCCAGCAGGTTGCTGCTGCGGCACATGAAGCAAATAAGTTATATAAAGAAGGCAGAGAGGTTTGTGCACATCTTGGAAAATTCAAAGAAGTACGAAAACTGTTATATGAAACTTGTAATACTTTGAAAAATGAAAATGTGATTTTGGCAGACTATGGTGGTACTTTAAAAAAAATAAAAGTAGTAATAATAAATGAACAATGGTGAAATTGTAATATCACAGGAAGCTTTTTCCTCCTTGTCCTTTGCTTTTGCTCTTGTAGTTGCTATCTACAGACTCAGTGCCCCTCCTTTCCTTTAACGTGCTGGTCATAAAAGTTAGAGAATTGTTACTATATAGCCACTTATAAGTTATATGCGTTTTCTTCCACTTCTGTCTTCAAATCTCTCAGAACTGGTATGCCAAAACTACAACTTAACACTGGTTTGTGTTTGGTTGTTGTTCGAATAGCTAGGTAATAGGCACATTTCCAGTTCATAACAAATCTGTACGGGAAGAATATGGTCATTTCAAAACAATCATTACAAAATTGTAGCACTGCTTAATGCAGGTGAAAGTGAAATCTCTCTCAAATGTCTGCCAGTTGGTATAAATTATTTGTATGGCTGTAGGTGGTTTGTTAGTTTTTTTGGTGTTGTGTTTTGTTTTTTTATCAGTAGCCCTGTTTCTCCAGGAAAGAAGTATTTGAATGTTAAGGTTTTGTTGCAGTTAGTAGTCTGTGTATTGTTTAGTGTATTGATTTTGGTTTTGTTAACATTCAAAGATATTTGTTTGCGTGGCTAAATGTATGAATTCTATGATTTACCAAGGAGGGCTTTCACAGAAAGCTTGCTTCAGTTCCGTGAAGCTATTTTCCCAAAGCTGTCTCCCTCAATAGGCATCATTCAGAGCAGCAAAACAGGTTCCTGATTGACTTCCTCAGGAGCCTGGATGGCTTTTTTTTTAATGTTATAGTTGGTCTTTGGGAGCATCCTTACTCTGTGTACAATCAGTGATGAAGTATCAGATAAACAGTTATTTGCTTCCAGAAACTGATATGAGGCATTTCCTATTCTTTATATACAGAGAGTTGAAGCCTAAATCATAAATAAGTAAATAGAAATGTTTGAAACTTAAATGAATCTTGAAAATCATTTTCTTTCACAAGGTTCTGGTGGTCAACTCTCAAGGTGAAGTCTCCCGCATGAACGCAAAGAAGGAAGTTGTGATGAAAGGAAATATCAACAATTATTTCAAATTAGGGCAAGAGGGGAAGTACCGTGTTTATCATAACCAGTATGCCACCAATTCATTCGCATTGAACAAGCACCAGCACAGGGAGGACCATGACAAGAGACGACATCTCTCGCATAAATTCTGCCTGACTCCTGCTGGAGAGTTCAAATGGAATGGGTCTGTACATGGGTCCAAAGTTCTTACCATATCCACCTTGAGGCTAACTATTATTCAGCTGGAAAATAATATCCCGGCATCATTCCTTCACCCTAACTGGGCTTCCCACAGGTAAATAATAAATGAAAATATATATCCTCTTGTTTTACTTGTAGTTTTGCGAACAGTATTAATAAGCAACGGTCTCTGTGTTTTCAAGTCGACGATATCCAAGCACTGTATTTCACTATGTTAAATACAAGATACCATGTTTGTGTTTTGTTACGGAGGGCTAAAAGCAATTGCATATTTGACTGAAGTATTACAATACAGGAGGTGTTATCCCACCATTAAGTCTCATGCTATATTAGCACATGTGTATGTTTCAAGTTTTTATCCTTTTTCCAATTCAGGTCTAACTGGATTAAGGCTGTTCAGATGTGCAGCAAGCCTAGAGAATTTGCACTAGCGCTGGCTATATTGGAGTGTGCAATTAAACCGGTTGTCATGCTGCCGATCTGGCGGGAATCATTGGGGCACACTAGGTAAGATAAACATACATAAAAATCTTCTTGAATAAGAGAACTTGACTTTGTTTTACAACTCCTAGTTTCTCAGAAAATTACATTTAAATTTAGTCAGTTCTTCAGTACTTGAAGTGTTTGTCTCAACCAGAAACTCTGAAAATACATGAGAAGATTTTTATAGTGTCATTGCTCCTGCTAAGCAAGTCTGTTTTCTTTATCTGAGCCACAGTCTCAAAGGGATAAAACTTTGGGAGACTACAAGAGCAAATTTGAACACACTCAGTTTAGTGGAGTCTGTCTTCTGTCTCTCGTGTCATAGGAGCAGAAGCGAAATGTGTCTGATGTTACAGTGGTGGGCAGCTGTGTTCGCCTTACTGGAATAGCCAAGGAAAGCAGTGTTACTACTGCAAGTAATACCTATAACCAGATGCTGGGCTTTCCTCTGATCTTCAGATATTTAAAATTATTCAAAGGGCTAATATAGGCTGCTGTGTGACTTCTTATTTTTGCTTACTTCAATCTGCACGTGTTAGATTACGCAGAATGACAGCAATAGAAAGAGAAGAAAAGGAGAAGGTGAAGAAAAAAGAGAGAAAACAAGAAGAAGAAGAAACAATGCAGCAAGCTACATGGGTGAAATACACATTTCCTGTCAAACATCAGGTAAGGTGGATTTTTTGTGAAGAACAGATTTAAAAAAAAAAAAAACCAAGCTGTTGATTTCATACTCCTCTTCTGTTTTCATTTTAAACCTAAAATCTTACAGTCATTGCGTTACTCACTGCCACTGGCGAAGGAGCCAAGCCCATCTACTCAAGCACATAATCTTGTCTGAACATGGAGTGGGCTCGAAGTGACACTGCCCGAGTTAACAGATGCTTGTCTGCCAAAAGCAGCTTTTCCTAACAGAAAGATTCAAGATGGTTATTGGAATCTTGTCTGTATGTCTGTCCCTGTCCAGTGCTCCCCTCTCATCCCCACTCCCCCTCAAAAAAGCTAGTCTACCTTTCCTTTGGAAGGTTATATTATATGATGGGAGCTACTGTAGAAACCTCTTCATATTCTCCTATGGCAGATACAAAATACTTGTGTTGGAGTGGTTCTTTGCTCTACACTGATTTGTTGCAACAAAACTTGTATAATCTTTCAGCTTTTAGGTAAATTGATTCTTAGTGTTACATGAAATAAAAATGTTTTTTAAATGTTACTGATGTAATCAATTATCAAAAGATATATGTTTAATTTTAGATAGTACAGTATTTCACAAATATACTAAAAATGGCATGAAAAAGTCTGTAAGTCGAAGGTTCTGTTTTTTAAATAAATCAACTTACGTTTTTAAATGGATTTACATATTAACAGCACAGCAAATAACACCATTAAAATGCCTATTTTAAAAATATTTAATAGGTTTGGAAGCAAAAAGGAGAGGAATATAGAGTAACGGGGTACGGTGGCTGGAGCTGGATTAGTAAAACACATGTCCACAGGTTTATGCCCAAACTGCCTGGAAATACTAACGCAGATTACAGGAAGTTACTACCCAGTAAGTGTTTGTGTTGATTACATGTTTTTTTAATTACTAACATACGGCTTTGTATTGCTTATTCAGGTAATTATTTGCACGTGGTATTTGTTACGTAGACTTGGTTACAAATAGTGTTCCAGAGAAGCTGCTGTGGGTTTCTGCTGATCTCTGTCAATATAACAGCTCAGTTGTCAGACATTTTTTAGCTCTATGAAATTGTTTCAATTATGAAGTTGCGTGTAATATTTGCACAGCTTTGTATAGCCTTATTTAAATTAAAGGTCAATAAAAATTAAGTAGATAATCACAAGTAAAAAGCAACATCTAAAATATTGGTGTATATGTACACCTTTTTTTTTATTCTGTGTTGACAGAATGCTATTAACTGATTTTATCTGGAAACAATAGTTTCATAAAGGGAAAGATATTTATTTCTCTAGTTCCAAACACACCTTTCGCTTACTTGTTCCAAGGATAAAAAAGAAAAATTTTGCACAGCTGACTCAGAATGCATCCTGAACTGAATGTCTTATTTATAATGAATTTAGTCTTGGGTTTCCTTTTAAAATGTATGAAATGGCAGCCCACGCTGCCATTTTACATATTAAAACTATTTATTTCCTCGCATATTGGTGCAATACTTGCCCTGTTGCTTTTAACTGGATCAGATGCAAAATGGATGAAGCTGCTTTTACTGTCGTCTATCTGATTGTTACATTAGATTTATTTTGCCTTCTGTGTTGCAGTGTTAAGCACAAAGTAATTTCAGTACTGATGTCCATTCTGGCTTAACTGTAGAAATCAAAATTATTAACAATTTTATTTGTGAATTTTCAGAGTGTGAATTAATAATCTTTTAATAGGCTGGATTTTCAGAAAGTGGCAAAGTGGGGGAGGGGAGTGTTGTTTGTTTAGGTTTTGGTCTTTTATTAAGAAAAAGCTGAACCTGGACTCCTGAAATAATAATGTAGAAGAAACATTTTTATTTCTGGTGACCTCTTAAATTATTTTCGTTCAATATTGCAGTAATCTGTTATTGCTTAATCTATGATGTTACCATTCTATACGTAACTCTTTCTGAATTTCAGTAATGATGTGTGAATGATTTGAGAGGTAAACTAACATACATTAAGATGTAGCAGAGTATAAAAAATATTCTCAATAATTGAAACCGTTTAATTTGTTAATAGCAAAGAGCGAAGATGAAAAATGCAACTTGGATAAACGGAAAGGTCCAATTAAGGTAAAAGTAGAGAAAGATAGAACAAAGGATTCTCATGATCTGCAAGCAAAAGACAAAGCAGATGTTTCAGAAACCTTGGAGAAAGTACAAGTGAAAGAAGAAAAGTTGCGTGAAGAAAAAGTAGAAGTTGATACAGTTTCTGAAAACTTAGATCATGCAAAAGCCAAAGGTGATATACTCAAGTTATTGTAAAACTAGCTGTTTATTACAACATTACTTGTGTAAAAGCTTCAGACCTCAGAAATAACTTAAAAACTGTGTAACAGGTTTTGTCAAGACATTTGAAAGTCTCAGTTAAATGATTGCTCAGTTAAATGATCCCTTATAGCAGTGTCTGAAGTTTTTGTTCCCTTTCTCTTGAAATCTGCTAATATGCTAAAAGGTCCATTTGTTTCTTAGTACGTAGTGTAATAAAGCAGTTCAGTACCCATTGTTAGGGAGCTTACTGATTCAGTTATTTCTTCTTCACAGTGGAAAAAGAAATCGATGGTGAAAATAATAAAGTCATCAAGGAAGAACCTATGGATGTAGATGATGTGAAAATGGAATCCTCCATAAAAGATGAAGATAGTCCTTGTAAGCTGGATATAATCAATGTCAGCGAGGGATTTCATTTAAGGACTTTCTACAAAAGAAAAGTGAAATCATCCAAATTAGATGGACTACTGGAGAGGCGAATAAAGCAGTTTACATTGGAAGAAAAACAGCGTCTGGAAAGGATGAAACTGGAGGCTAGTGCTAAAACAGGCATTCGATCTGTAAGCCCCCAGAAAAGCATGGATGAGCTACAAACGAGAAAAGTGAAAGGAGGAAGCCAGTTTGACACGTCTTCCCAAGATCCAACCTGTATTTCAGATAAGACCCAAACCGAAGATGCAGAACAGGACTGCTTGCCGATCAGCAGCATCTCCTGTACCAAAACTGGTGAGCTAGATGAACCCTCTTTGCCTTTGACACCCCGGATGTCAAAAAGAGAAGGCCAGCTACTGGATGAAGACTCGCCTCAGTCCTCTGAAGGTGAAAGCTCCATTCAGAATCACGGGAAGGAAGACAGCCCTGAACCTATGGCTGCTGCTGAGAGTCAAGGACAAGGGGCTCTTGGAGAATCTGAGACTTCCTCTGAGGGTGGCTTGAAACAAACAAGTGCAGAAGGTAGAATCAAATGGAATACTTCAGAAACAAGGGGAAAACCTTTGAGACAAAAACTACCTTTTACCAGAGTATCTCAGCGTGAACGTGAAAATTTAGAACCAGTGGTAACTGAAAGCAGTTGTAGAAAAGAGGAGTTGGTTACTCCTGAAAAAACAGATTCAGAAGGGAATTCTGAACAGGAGAGCAAAGATCCAGAAAACAACTGTACAGTAAAATGCCGTATTGAACCAGCGTCCTCTCAAGACAGTGAAATGGAGGAAGAAATTGCTCCAGTGAAGACGAAAAGTAAATCTGAAAAGAGGGTATTTCACCAAAAAACAGTCAGTAAAGATCTAGGACCATTTAAAACAGAGCTAGTTTCTGAAAGAAGCCCTGAAAGTCACGCTCTGGAACACATGGATGGGGTAGAAGTTGATGAGGATTTACCAAGCTCTAAACTAACTGAGGCTAATGGTCAAAAGAAAGGTCAGGAACTGAAAGTGGAGACAGGTACCATAAACAAGTGTCTTGATCAGACAAATCTGTATAGTGTTACTGACAAAAAGAATAGTAAAGATGAAGAAACTGAGACAGACTTAGAAAAACAGAAATCAGCATTTCATATGAATGGAAAAGACAAAGTGTTATCAAACAATGACTGCTTAGTTAAAGATACCTGTGAAACTAAGGCGGGGGGTGATATTGAACCAAAAGTTAATAATATTAATAAATCCATTCCAGAACAGGAAATAAGACCATTGACTTTTAAGGAATCATCAGTAAAACCATTCATGAATGGTGACATTATGACAGAGGACGCAAAGGACAAAAATAATGTGGGCTCTAAGTCGCGTCTGCAGAGTTCATCTGCGTTTGAGTCTGGAGAGAGTCTTCAGCCACCAGATGAAGTTCCCACGTATGTGCAGAAAACTGAAGAAAGCCAGCTTTCTCCCAAGAGATCTGCCTTTGGCTCTGCTTCCACGCCAGCGCATGCTGTCTGTAAAGAAAATAACCTGAATAGTGAAACAGAATCTATGGAAACTGAAGCAGCTGAGGATAAGGAAGTTGCTCCATCGCCTGTAACTTCATGTGAGGAATCTAGCTTGAGCAGTGACTTTGCTGATCAGAATGGCATACAAACATATAAAATGGAAAATATTAATGGAGAAAGTAAAATAAAAACTGTTATTACTGAAGTGACTACCACAACATCAACTGTGTCTACACAATCCAAAACTGTGTTTAAAGTTGCAGAGACTGTAGCTTCTAATGATGAGAAAACAACAGTAGTATCATCCACAGAAAATTGTGCCATCTCCACTGTAACTACCACCACTACAGTAACTAAGCTTACCACTCCAGCCACAGACAGTAACGTTGATGTCATTTCTGTACAAGAGCATAGTAAAACAGTGGTTACGACAACAGTAACCGATTCGCTCACCACCCCAGAAGGCACATCGGTGACTTCCATGACTGTCAGCAAAGAATATTCTACAAAAGACAGAGTCAGGTTAATGAAATTTGCAAGACCCAAAAAAACGCGCTCTGGAACTGCCTTACCGTCTTACAGGAAATTTGTTACCAAAAGCAGTAAAAAAAGCATATTTGTTTTACCCAATGATGACTTGAAAAAGCTGGCCAGGAAAGGAGGGATCAGAGAAGTTCCCTATTTCAATTACAATGCGAAGCCTGCCTTGGATATCTGGCCATATCCATCCCCAAGGCCAACTTTTGGGATCACTTGGAGGTACATACTTGACGTTTTTGAGGAAACGTTTAGGATGTGCTGAAATTAATCAATTTTAAATTACAAGTAACATAGATGTTTGTGGTTAAACGTGCGAATTCTGCTAGTTATTATTTAATAGTGTTCTATATTGCTCAATAAAGGTTCAGTGGAAAACCTCTGTCCTATTGGTTGGTTTGGTATTTTAATACATTCTGACTTTAAACTATAATTCATACTCTGTTGTTAGGTACCGACTTCAAACCGTAAAATCACTGGCCGGAGTGAGCCTTATGTTGCGGTTATTGTGGGCATGTCTCAAATGGGATGATATGGCAGCAAAAGCCCCACCTGGGGGGGGAACTACACGTACAGGTATTCCTTCTTTACGTTTCTGGGTTAATGCAAAAGCTCTCGCTGTAACTTTTGGGCGTTACGCTCATCCCAAGCATTTCTGTAAAAGCTTGATGTTAGCTATGGCGTTTGGATTTTTTTTAGTCAAAATTTGTACTACTTGCTGTTTCTTTACCTCGAGTATATTGGGTTGATTGGAGATGTAACTTTTATTTGTTTTCTGTTATTAATATATTGGGGCTAATTTGTTGTAGAAACATCTGAAACTGAAATTACAACAACAGAAATAATCAAGCGAAGAGATGTGGGTCCATATGGAATCCGGTCAGAGTACTGTATAAGAAAAATTATTTGTCCCATTGGTGTACCAGAGGCTCCAAAAGGTATGTTTGTTGATACTTTTTTTTTTTTACTCCGTCCCCTAAGCTCCTACAGAAATTAAGGTAACTGGATATTTATCTTAATTCTGACCATCAAGGGAGCACATGTAGCTTGACATGAACTGTTCATTCACCTATGGGAAACAAATGATGTATGTAACAAAAGGACATGGTTTATGTGAAGCTGAAAGGCCTTCCTGTTTATAAAATAAGACTTGAAAAAGACACTAAATCTTGATTTACATATTAATTTTGGTTTAAGATTGAGCTTACTGTGTGTTTTTGACTGTTCTCTAAAGAAACTCCAACACCCCAGAGGAAGGGACTGCGATCAAGTGCTTTAAGGCCAAAAAGGCCAGAAACACCCAAGCAAACGGGCCCTGTTATCATTGAAAGTTGGGTAGCAGAGGAGGAGTTGGAACTCTGGGAGATCAGGGCATTTGCTGAAAGGTAAACCACCTCCAACGAGCTTTCAAAGGCGGCAGTTGTCATTCGTGTGTGGATGTGGAATGGAAGTTCCCACTGCAGACCACAGACCTGGCAGCTACAAGCAGTAAAAGCAGATCTGTGTTGCATTTTTATTGTGCCTTTTGCAGATGATAGTCAAGCTTAAAGTAGTAAAGCTGAATTATTGGCGGGTACCAAAACTCATTTTTGCAGATTTTAAAGATCTGTTAGAACCAATATATTTTTTCCATGTTTATGAACTAATCCCTGTTGTATGCTAAAAGGCTGTAGTGCACAGAAAGGCTTTAGGCTGCTTCTGGCATAACTTTAAACCATATGTGCTTAAATACTTCTGTAGTACAAAGGCAGCCAATGTGTACAAGTAAAGATAAAGTCAGCCTGAGAGTATTCAAGTCATAAACCCAGTATTTTCAGTATTTCAGGCTTAGAGTTAGAACAACATTTTTGAGTGTCTTGGAATGAACTGTTTTAAAATAATGGTACTACACAGATTGTTTGCAGTCTCAGATGTAATTAAAAATTCCAGTTTTGATTAATAGTTTCCTGTAAAGTGTTGCAGTACTGTTTCATCAGAATATTTCAGGGATGTTGCATGCAACTTCAGTAGTGTATTTTAAAATACTTTTAAAATCATGACCAGTTTTTCAGTGATCTTCAGTCTTGACATTTGTTCTTACAAGAGGAATTACACTGGATAAAATGAAATCCAGTTTGATGGTTGGATTTTATGAGATGGTGTAACTTTACTTTCGGTTGTCTTTGGCAGGGTGGAGAAGGAAAAGGCACAGGCAGTTGAACAACAGGCTAAGGTTAGTGAACAGAAGAAGGCAGAGGAATTCAAGGCCCAATTGGAGGCTCAACTAAAACACCAACGGTTGGCTGCCCAGCAGGTGGGGGAGCTATTGGAAGTCCCACCTGTCAGCAACTCTGCACTGGTAGTCCATATGCATTAGAATATGAGAAATGAAGTTTATCCCAATCTTGCACCATTTTTCAAATAATTTCCACCTTGCGTGCAAACTAAGCAATCAAACAACGCTACTCCCACCGTGTACACTCGTTACTTTGAAATGGGGTTGAGGGGAAGATTTAGTTTGGATTCCCCTTTTTTCTGCCTGATTCATAACATTTTAAAAGCGTTCTGTTTGCTTCCTTTTTAAAAGAAGTCTGGGAAGCACCAACCTCTAGGTAAGGTGAATAGTGCAATGGATAGCTGACTTGGCAATACAGCTGCATTTGTTCTTCATGCTTCGATCAAATTGAACCTTTTTATTTTATCCTAAGTTGGCTGAATGAAGCAGATTGATAATTTTATTGTTATATATATACACACACATAGATGTAAGTGTACGTAAATATAAATGTGTGCAGTTAAAATGGGGAAACCCCATGACGTGTTGATACTTCACATACATGATTAAGAACTGTGCTTTTTTCCATCTTGCTGCTTTTTCATTTCATCTTCCCTGAAGAAAATACATTACTAGTGGATGAGTGTTTCTGATTTGCAGGCATTACCACAATATAATGGTAACCGAACACTGAAATTTAAATTAATAAATAGAGAATTCCAGTAACGTAGGGAAAAATGTTACTACGTTCTGATACTGATACTATCCCTTCACAAAGTGGCTCTCTAAATTAAATATGCCTTCTTGACAGTTACAGCACAGAAGGTTGCTGGGTCAGGTAAGGGATTTTGAAACTTCTTTTTTTTTTAAGCAAGCTGCAAACTGGATTTATAGTTAAAGAAAATTTTTTTATATTACATTCTTAATGGTGAAGTAGAATGATATTTTTTGGTGTTTTTCTGTAAGTGGCAAGGGTCTCGGTGCAGGCAGCTCGAAACCTTGGAATGGTAGTAATAAACTCTGTGTTAATGACAGTGTACCACAGGCTATATGCACGTGGTCACACCCAAATTTAGGTGGATGTTTTTCAACGTTTTTTAACCTTTCGGATTAATCTGAGTCTAATAAGTTTTCTTTTAAGTAAAATGTGCGGTGAAATTAACATAAGCTGAGTGTGTTAAAGATGCTCTGAAGGAAAATTTCTGGCTGTGTGCTATGAGCAGAGTTGCAGTTCCGCAGGTCAAGGAGCCCAGTGCTGTAGGGTAGGCCAGCAGCCTAGTCTTCAATCCTGTACAACCTGAACTAAAATCCTACCGCAGTCCTTTATTTTTCAGTAGTGGGAAGAGGCAGCATTTACGTTACAAAATCTGAAAATGCTAATTATCCCTTCGTTTAATTTTTTCCCCCAATTCTGTAGAAACGTCTGGAACAGCAGAAGCAGATACCTGCAGCAGGGGTGACCCCCGTGGTCACTACAGCCAGCAGCACTGCAACTACTGCCTCAACGCCCCAGAAAGTTGTGGTAGGCCCTTTAGCAGGCCCAGTCCCCACTGGAACCAAAGTAGTACTTGCTACAAAAGTGGGTTCTCCAGCTACAGTAACATTCCAACAGAACAAGAATTTCCATCAGACTTTTGCTACTTGGGTTAAACAAGGCCAATCTTCAACAGGTAAGTAGCCATTTACCATGGAAAGAACGTGTAAATAGGGTGAGCTCCAGCACAGCACCTACATCTTCTCCAGAATATATAGCATTATTATATTTCTTGTTGTCTTTGCTCTTAACTCTCTTGCTAAGTCAGCAGGACGCTTCTGAGATAATACCTGTCTAATTTTTCTTTGTTCAGACTTGCTAGGTAGTCTTATTTCTGACCTGTCTCATTTATTCCTGGCAGTTGTTGTACTAGTAATCATTGATGATGAAAGCAATCTATGCTGTAACGTACTGTTTCCAAAAAAGAATCTTTACCAAAGAAAGTACGCTGCATTCAAGAATGATTGTAAAGATAATCCTGTAGCTTGCTCTTTCATACATGAAAATAGTCATTTCATCGACTAATGATTCTGCTCTAAAACTGACTGTTCTGTGTGCCTCAATAGCCACTAGCACAGCTGCCACTTCAGCCACAACCATTGCCAGCACAGGGCAGACCTTCCAGATCTCAGGCAGTCCAGTAACGATGGCAGGGAAAGTGATAACTAAGCTGCCTCTCCCTGCAAACAGCAAGATTGTTGCCGTCAATGTGCCATCAACTCAAGGAGGTAGGGCAAAGGGAACTGAATTCAAAATGTGTTTCAGCTTGCTGATTCCTTCTCCATTGACACTATTTTCCCAGTAAAGTAATCTCTGACTTGAAGGGGGAAAAATATTGACATACATATACATACACAAGTTTCTAGAGCTTGTTCCCCCTGTATTGTATATTTGTGTCTGTTGGGGAAAATGCAAGTTTTTTGCCTAAAAATTATTCTACATTTCATAGTGCTGAATTAGAATTTTTATTTCGAACAATGTGGAATGAAGCATGCTCTTTTTTTTTTTTCATTATCTAAATTATACATCAACAAAAAAAAGGCTGCTGTTTTCAGTTATTAATGCCTGCATCTGCTCTTCACTGATGAGCAGGAGTTTGGCTCCAAACGAAGTTTAGCAGTTTTTCTTCTTGCCTCAACAATATTTTGTGATTTGTGAATGTATATTGAAGAGAACTCTGTCTCCATTATACTTAGCATCTGAGGAAATCATGAAGGCTACTAGTTTTGTATTGAAATTTCTTAGGTAACAGGAGAAGCATTACCCATTTTGTTCAGCACCACGAGCTTGTAGGTGAAAGGTGTTTTAACTAGTCTCCATTTTAAATTAATCAGATTATGGCTTCTTAATGGTTGTATAATACTGATTTGTGGCACCGTATCGATGCAAGGACTTATTTGCAGTAACCATCAAACTGGTCTTTGTCAAGATTCATTCTTTCCTTAATCTTTTCTAAAATGCCTATTTCTTAACTTAAAATGCAGTTGGACTATTGACAAAATGTAATGCTGCTTCTTTTTACAATGTGACAAAGGTTCTCCTAAGAAATGTTGAAAGACTCAAAGGTGTTCTAGAAACCTGGAGGCTGATTTCTAAATGCCACCCTGGAGTTGCATTTACTACTTTTGCTGGCAATTATGTCATTAATGAATGCTCAATTTTTCTTTAATTAGGTGTTGTTCAAGTTCAGCAGAAGGTATTGGGTATCATTCCATCAACTACAGGTGCAAGTCAAACATTTACTTCATTCCAGCCAAGGACAGCAACAGTAACCATTAGGCCAAATACTACAGGGACGTTAGGAACAACCAGCACTTCACAAGTAAGATGTTGTTCTGATTGTTTAATGCAACAAATGTGAGTACATATATTTTAGGTTATTGACAGATATTAAAATTTTTGTCTAGTCACTTTCAATGTGTTTGACTCATCTCAGCAATAGTGTTTATGGATCCTTTTTCCGGGGTCGTACAACAGTTCTCTCCAATTGGAAAAATTAATGGTTTGGAGCTTGGTAAGCCTTAGCAGTGTGAACATAGGTGAGAATATATTGGATCTGCTTGCATCTTGTTATTTCTTACTGCATTAAAAAAACCCAAACAACTTCAGGGCATATCCCAGCAGCTTTTCTCACAGTTTACGTACGCTCTCCATTTTGGTGTATGTAGGTAGTACAAGGGACGCCGCTCCGCCCTGGTATGACAGTAATACGGACACCACTTCAGCAGCCAACGCTTGGAAAGACCATCATTCGAACACCTGTAGTGGTGCAACAAGGTATTCTTCCAGCCAGTAGGTTCATTTTAATACTTAAATTTCCAGTGTGAAATCCATGGTTTGTTTCTTCGCAAATACCTTCCATATCGGATGTCCCCATGCAAGCATACCTCATGCTGGTGCTTGACTTCTAACAAATGCCTTTTCTGGCTTTTGAATGTATGAGTTGCAGGCTTTGTCAGTGTTCACTGGGAAATCTAGTCCTTAGTTTTGTCATTTGAAACAAATCACTTGCCTCAAAACAAACAAAATGTTTAGCAGAATTGCCTTTTTCTCTTACAAGGCAAGGTAAGTGCTTGAGGTACTCTGTAAGTATGTGAATTGAATAAAAATAGAAAAACTTTTGCAGACATTTTTCAGTCAACCACACAGACATATGGTTTGTAAAGAAAATTCATGTGCCAACTGCAGCGTTTGCTTCACTTGTCTGATCATACACTACTGCAAGTTGTTGTGACACTGATTTGCTGTGCTAACAGTTAAAATGTTGGAAACATGTTTCTTACCACAAATTATTCTCTTACAGGTCAGACACAGCAAGTGGTGACTCAAATAATCAGGGGTCAGCCTGTCTCCACAGCAGTTTCTAGTACCAGCACATCATCTTCCAGTGCTGGCCAAAAGACGGTCACAAGTCCTGGCACAGCACCTCAGCAAGTGCAGCCACCAAGCACACCGCAGCCCCCGCGTCCTCAGCAGGGACAAGTGAAACTCACCATGGCCCAGCTCACCCAGCTAACCCAGGGACAGGTAAACCGTTGCCTAGGCTCCAAGCATGGAAATGGGCTGGTACTTATGATACATCTTTATCAAGCTGTTGGATTTCAGCAGCATAGTGCTCATAAATTTGTTTCAGCCTTCATTTGGGATGACTGGGACCATAATTACAGACTGAAAGAAGCTTAAATAGTGCATGTAAAGTTTTAAATTATCGCTTCCTATTGTATTCCCTAGTAATGTAATTAACATCAGGGCATACTGGATGTAAGGAAGAAATTCTTCATGGAGGAAGTTGTGAGGCACTGGGACAGGTTGCCCAGAGCAGCTGTGGATGCCCCATCCCTGGGAGCATCCAAGGCCAGGCTGGATGAGGCTTGGAGCAACCTGGGCTATGGAAGGTGTCCCTGCCCATGGCAGGGGGTGGGGCTGGGAGGGCTTTAGGGTGCCTTCCAACCCAAACCGGTCTGTGATTCTATGGAAGTTTAGCAGTATAGAAAAAAGTCTCTGCATTAATAGCAGTAAGGGACATAATTCTTTCATGTAGTCTATTTTGTAGACCTTCAGAACATAATGTTCGTTCCTTGTCTTTTGATATTATGTGAAGATTTAGTTTTCATTCATGTTATCCAGCATCACAGAGGAAAAAGTTACTGTATCTGGAACTGGAGGAGGAAAAAGGTGTTAGAGCTTCTGCTCAGATCACAAAGGTCTGTTGGCAAAAGATAAGTTTAGAGTCAAGCACAGGTAAAAATATACTTCTGTCAGTTACCACAATACCTATTTTTCAAATTATAAATAATATATTGTCGAGGTTTAACTCCAGCCAGGAAAATAC